TAAGTGGGTTGCAATAAACGCTGTTGGGGTCCACAAGGGATTAGTGGCAGCCTGCGTGTCGCTGCTTTTCGCCACCGCATCGCATCCTTATTCAATAGAGTGCTTAACAATGATGAAAAGTGGGTTCTGTAATTAAACTCCCAAGCGTTCCAGACATTGGTTGTCTCCTCAGGATGCTGTCCCTCACACCACAAGACCGCCTATGCACCCATGCAAGATTATGCTTTGTGTCTTGTGGACAGGTCATCAAGTGGTTCATTATGAACTGCTACCAACGGGCCAAACAGTCACTGGAGACCTATACTCACAGCAATTGAAACGTGTGCAACAGGCATTGCACCAGAAGGAGCCAGCACTGGTGAATCGCAAAGATGTGCTTTTTCATCATGACAACGCCAGGCCGCATGTCGCCTGAGTGGTCAGGGATAACATACAGCGACTTGGGTGGGAGACTGTGCCATCCACCTTATTCACCTGACCTTGCACCATCCGATTACCACCTCTTCCACTGCTTGGATAATCATCTTTGTGGGAAATCCTTCACCAATGAAGCAGATTTGCGCAAAGCCCTCACAGACTTCTTTGTGTCAGAATTTGATAAATTAAAGAAAAAAAACTTTAATGTAAAATTATTTCCACTCCCCTGGTGAACTTAAATTCTTTTATCCCGAATATTAAAAAAGGTTCAGACAAAAATGTTGAAGACTCAAATTTGGAACAAACATTTATTACATAGACAAAAAGAAGAAATGCAATTTTTTTTTTTTTACAAAAAAAAAAAAAAAATGGTACCACTAAAATTTCCTTTTGTGCACTTCTTTAGTAAAAGCAGATAACAGATGAAAATATATAAAGGCTCTTAAAAAGACATACAATTATCAAATAATGGAAAAAAAACCCTTTGAGAAGATAATACAAGAACTTAATATAATGTTGAAAATATTAAAGAGTGTTTTCAACCTTGTCTAATCCAAAAACAAAACAGGAGCTTTCTTTATCCACTTGCATCATTAAAAGTTTTCATTTTTTTTTTTTTTGTTCCTTCTGTAACAAACAACCCAGCTCATCCACAGGTGACAGCCAAAACTAGCTTTTCCTTCTGGAATCTTATTTTTCCGCCTAAAGGATGAAGTTTTCATGACACCTTGTTTTCTGACATGATCGAAAACTTACACCATCGAGTCGAAATTCTTGTTACCTCTTCTTAATCTAAAGTTATCTGATGACATGTCGTCTTATACAACCAAAGAGGCTCCAGACAGATCTTTAAACCATAAATTTACGTGGGTGGAAGCCACCCTTTTGATTGAACAATGAATACAAAGTATATATTTTTATATTTTGAAACAGTCCGACTGGACCAAGTCATTTTCTATGGTTCTTTTAGAGCCAATCCTAAATTTTGTAACTTTTACTTAAAAAAAAAAAAAAAAAAAAAAAAAAAACTAAAGAATACATTATTAATTTTTTTAAAAAATACACTTCTTTCTCACCCAAAAAGACAAACCTGGGATATTTATAGACACTATTTATTAATTAATCCTTATTAATCATTTTATATTATTTATCAATTAATTAAGAAGATGATTCAAAACAATATAGTAATGAAAGCAAGTTTTGTCCTTATTTTGCTGCTACAACAAATTCTAAAACATTCCAAACAAAAAGTTTTTAGTTTCTGTTTAATAAACACGGCGTTCCTCATCTTCTGATTAAATAGTTTGCTAACATCTAAGTTTTCAACAGTTGCAAATATTGTTTTAAAATTTAAAAAAAAAAAAAAAAACAAATCTTTTTATTTTCAATAAATAAAAAAAAAAAAGAAAAAACAAAGATACTTATAAGTAATTGTTCTATTTTTTTATTTTTAATTAACGGCCGTGGAGGAAATAAAATATCTAAAGCATTATTTTGAGCATTAACTTGTCAATAATACAGTCAGTTACATTCATTCAAGGATCCACGAGTAGTAAGCTAATTTACGGAGGTAGACAAATTCTTTGCTAAGAAGTGTGATGACGTAGATAAGAAAAAAAAAAAGAAATATTGTCTCGTTGGTATTTAAATGTTAGTTAGCTGAAGTTTCGTTTCTTCTCAGTTAGGACTTTCCCACGATATTCGCTGTTACATGTTCTTTGTGAATATTTTTTAGTGGTTAAAAAAGCTTATCAAAGAGACAAGAAGTTTGAGTAGGTACAGCTGAATTGATATGGGTTGAAAATTTCTAACACGTATTAATATTGATAACAAGCAAAAAAGAAAATCTGGAAGCCATGGGAAACGTCATCTGTTTTTTTTTTTTATCGAATTTTTGTAAAATCTTGTTTCAAAATAAATTAAACATTTTTTTCTCCTTTTCATCTTTAATATGAAAAAAAAAAAGTTGATTCTATAATTGCAATAAAACTGGATGTCGAAAAAAAAAAAAAAAAAAAAAAAAATCTATAAAATTCGGAAATTAAATTATGAAGGAAACTGGTTGTTTTTTTTTTAATGAATGCCAGTTGTTAATGTTCGAACCCAGGTGACAACCAGCCTCACGAATTTCTAAGCGAGTAGATTTTTCCCCCACTCTGGATGATTGGCGCAATACAATCTTTCAACTCATTACTGTCATTCCTGACCTTAAACAGCAACTATAAAAACAATTCAATTCTTTGAGAAAATACATTGAGGTTTTGTTTTTGTAACTTGTTTTTTTTTCACGTTCACGAAATGTTTCATTTCTTCTACATGTTCGAAAAAATAAAAGAAAAATTGGCTTCGCTTATGGCTGCTCATTTGAAATAATTAAAAAAGATGATGTAGCTCTCTAGCTGTACTTAGTTTTATTAATTAAATTAAACCTGACAAAGTACAAACAAATAAAACTGCCCAGACAAGCCAGTTTTTTTTGTTTTTTTTAACTTTTTAAGCTTATTTTCAGATTCATGCAATACAGCATTGTAATTGTCATAAAACAAACTTAATGAAGTTTTATTTATTTTTTTTAAACTGATTCAGAGTCGATAAGTTTTTAATAACTTTGAGTTAAGTAGTAAGTTGTTTAATTCTACAATTGTAACAATACATTTCGTGCATTTCATCTTCCTCCACCTTTAGTGCTGCCGCTGAATAATGCAAGTATCCAAGTGATTTGTAGGTAACGTAGTCTTTCTAACCGGGGAGGGGGGGAGGAATTTTGTTTCCGTTTTAGGGAAAAGAAGAAAAAAAAAGATACAAAATTTGTAATTCTTTCTTTCTACAAGGGTGCTTATGATCCAAGACACTCAAGTTAAACTAAAGTAAATTTGTACTGCTACACACAACACAATTAGACAAGAGTTGTGTAGAAAGAAAGTCATGACATTTTTATTTTATTACGTTGATTCTGAACCAGTTTTGCTTTAATGCACGTATTTTTAAAATAAAACTAACACACAATATGAAAGTAAAAATAAACATTGCTTATGATGTGTGTGTAATTTGAAAAGTAGGTGATAAAGAAGATTGATGACAGGAAAGGTAAACTTAAACTACCTGTCGAGCTTGTATATCCACGTGTACCAAACACTTTGAGGGACAAGTGTGCAATGTGTATTTAAAAAGACTAAGTGTAAAGACGATAAGTCAAGCAAGACTCAAGTCAAGAATGATTGCAAAAATTCTTTACAACCGAATCGCAGTACCCACGAGTATTTTCCAAACAAACAAGGGGACATTAAAATTTGGTAGCGAGAATGAAATCAAGTTTGAAAATCTAGTCTTTGCGTAGAGAAAAAAAAAAAAAAAAAAAAAAGACTATTTATTGGTTTCGTTGTGTTAGGGGGTTCAAAGTCGTGTGTTTTTAGCATATGGTTGAATTGATAAAGTTACAGTACACTCACAGGGGTAGCCCGCGGCTTGCGAGCCACATGCGGCTTTTTGACCTTTAATATGCGGCTCGTCGTGGAAATATATTGGCTGAGTTACTTTTTTTTCACAGTCAATAAAAGGTAAATAAGAAAAATTTAAGTTTTAATTATTTACTGGGTACGAACTGAGACACATTGAAAACGTAAGTTTTAATGACGTCACAAATGTGTATTTAACAAAAACGTATGTGTAAAAATTTTGTTAATGTTTTTATTTTGTGGCTTTCAAACATGAACCCTAGAGAAGAGAGTACAGAGAGTATGTTGGCTAAAACAAAATAAAAGAAAACACCACAAACTAAGAAGTATATCCTTTACAAGAAAAAGTAGAAGCAACGTCTGATGAAAATGTGAATTTTCATAAAAAAAAAAAAAAAAAAATTGCTAAGCAGTCGAACTAAAAGAATTTCAAAAATAAAAGATCCATATTGATTTCGTAGAAGCATAAACAAAATAAAAATTCATAAAGTTTTTATTTTTAAAATGTTTTAAGTTTTTTACTGACAAGTAGGAGTGAAAAAAAAGAGAATGTTTTCAGCTGGAGATTAAGAACAACGTGTGACTGTCTAGAAATTCTTTTTACAACAGAAAAGCGTGATTTTTTTTTCTTGTTATTGATTTGAGTAGTGAGTGAATAAGCCTTATTTATCAGAATTTATTTAACGAATATCAGATGACACGTTGATCAGTCTCTCGCCACAGTTTGTAATCATTCCTTCATTCATTCATTGATTTTTTAAACTAGAAAATAAAATATATACGTAAATTATAAATTTTACCTGTTTAGCGGTGAGAGAAAAACAAACATGTCAAGCGTGATTTTTCTTTTTGTACCTGAACTTTTAAGATTATTGAACAGCATCTGAAGAACAGTATTGGTACGAATCATTGAAGAGAAACGTGTTTGTTTCCCCACCCAACACTAAAAATGTGGTTCTTCTTAATCTTATCTCATTAAAATTAAATATAAAATTAGTTCACGGTCGTTGCTTCTCAACATTGATAAAATTGAAATTATTTTCGTATAATTTAATTACACCGATTCCTTTATTTCTTAAACACGTCAAATTAAAAAAAAACAAAAAACGAGGGCTACTAACTACTTACCTCGTATGCAATAAACAACTGTGTGCCATTCAACATGGGTTGATAAAAACATTCAATTCGTCCAGGTCCGATTTCAAATTTAAACTCCACACTAAAAGATCCGTGGCTAGGAACATTGTACCAGTCATTCTCCTCTTTTCCATAATTTATGTTACTTATGGAATTAATATAACCATTGACATGGCAACTAAAAAATACAATCAAACATACAGCGGCCGCACATCGCGCGGCCGACACTAAGGAAGCCATCTTACAATCTCCCTTTACGTCGATATTGACACAACCGGCTTCCCTATTATCGATCAAGATAAACAGATGCGTCCACTCACTACAATTAGGGGGGAATAGCTTCAGTTGAGAATAGATATCGTTTTTAATTAAAATTTTAATGGAAATGTAAAATTTTATCCCAGATTAGATTTTATTGAGAGAATTGAATTTTATTTTTATTTTAACGTTTTTTTTACAGTTACACTTTTTTTTGACTTTAGTTTTTTAAAGGCCTGTTAGTTATGACTTCAATAACACGTGGATTTTAGAAAAAACAAATAACTGTACAGAACACATACACATACACTGACTAAAACAGTACACAGTGTTACTGTTGTACAATGTACAGTGCACGACAGTGTATGTACACGTAAAAAAAAACTAACAACAAACCTTGTTGTGTAGAATTTAAAGTAAACTTTTGGTCGCTAAACTGAGTTATTTTATTTTAAATAAACAGATATTTTCGAATGGAATAAAAGGAAAACACGGTTTTATTAAGTAAGTATTCTTGATTTCTCGCTCTATTTTCTTTTCTTTCACTCCTTATACGCACACACACGCTGACACACAAACTAAAAACAAAATCGCTTCGTTATGTGTGTATGCACAGTGCACACGCGTATAAAAAGTTCACCAAAATTATCATTAGTTGTCACAAACTAGAAGAATGATGAATTATTGCGTTGAGTTATATAGCAGACCTCTTTCCTTTTTTTGTTTTTAAAAGACCAAAAAACTCGTTCAATAGAACAAAAATAACCAGTTGAAGAAAATAAGTGAAATTTTTAAGTAAAAAATAAAATAAAAATTCAGTAAGAAATTTGAAATTAGGTTGGTTTTAAAATAAAAAAAAAAGTTATGTTTGAATTAACTTAACTGAACCGGATATAGCTAGCAATAATAAGCATATCACACACACACACACACACACACACACACACACACACACACAGAGAGGTTAAATCAACTTGGACATAAGGCCAACTGAAACACACACCTAAATCAGAAACTAAACATCGCTTTGCAGTCGTTTCCTTTGGAACAATAAAAAAAAAAACTTGAATTATTTGGAAAGTTTTTTTTTTTTTTTTTTTTTTTTTTTACCGAGAACTCGTTTTAAAAGCATTTTTGATTGTCATGCTATTTAAATTTAATTTGCTACTTTAATACTGTTTTTTTTTAAAGAAGCAAACAAAAAACTACTTTCATATTTTATTCGAAAAAAGACTTCGTTGAAAAACAAAACATCATTTTTCATGTATTTTCTTTTCAAATTCTGCGAATTTTCTATTTTGAAAATAAAAATAAAAGAATGAAAAAGTCTGAGCCTTTTTCTTAACGGACATAATTCGAATTATAAGTTTTTGGAGTCATGAAACCCAAAGACACGTTATTTAATTATTATTTTTACAGACGACATAAAAAAAAGTTGATTAGGTTTTCTTTCACTTGATTCGTTATTTTCCCCAATTAGTATAGTTGTAGTGTATTGTTCTTTCACGGAATCGGCTTTTTTCACCTTCTTGGCTTCGTAAACATTTTTGAATAGGTTACCATTGTCACTGCAGTAGCCGGAGATAACTCTAGTAAAACAAATTACAGACAGACCAAAAAAAAAAAAAACACTTCTTATATTAACTATTAAAAATCTGATGGCCCTTTTGTTTGAAGTTAGTAAGTATTTGATTAAAAAGACACTATCGTGAACATTCTTTTGTATTTTGATCTCAAAATAGCACTTTGAAAGTGTATCAGACTTCTAAACACTAAAAATAAAATAAAACCCACAACACCTGGCAAAAGAGAAAAAGGAGAAGGAGGCTTTCAAAGTACTTTTAAGGTGCTAGCAAGACTTTTAAGTTAAAATCTGTAAAGAAAAAAAAATGGTAAATCATCAAATCAGATTGTAGTGCGTCCCGATAAAAAAATTAAAAAAATATAAACAATGATAAAAAGAATTCAAATTAAAATAAGGCATTTGTGCTTTCCTTTAACCCCCTCCCCCCTCTCTCTCTCTCTCTCAATTTCTCTTTCTATACTTCCCTCTCAATCTACGAGAAGGCAACTGTCAAATAGAAAGAGGAAGAAGAAAAGACTGAACCCGACCGAAAAACAACGGAAGTTTGCAGGAGAAGAGCCTGAACAATACCAAAAATCAGGGAGGCTCCGCGCATAACTTCTGTTATAAAAAAAAGAAAGAAAAAGGAACGCCGGAAAATAAAATAATTTGACCAATCAAAAAATTGGCACAAAGAGACTTTTGATGATAGTCGAAACCAATGTTCACGCCAAATTCTCGGGCCCGAGCAAAAAGATATAAACCTGACTCCTCTGGCTAGAGAGAGAAAGATGGTAAAAGAAGACGGAATAAAAGAACTGCGTAGAAACCTACCATGCGTGACGCATGAAGAATCGGTTAGGATATCATTGGCTATGGATATTTCCGCCCAAATCAGAGCCGAGAAAAACACAACAGATTGACATCCACCTAATTTCTGAAATCACTACTATCCCTATCATAGTCTTACCGCAAAACATCACTACCTGATATTTCTCCAGACTGCTACCAATATCAGCCTTATTAACGAACTTTTTGCTACGCCGAATTCCAAAGGATTCACTCACTATTCTAAAGGAAATAAATAAAAATATATTATTTATTTTAAACCATTCAATCAGTTCGTTTTATGTCCTATGTTTCCGATAAATTAATGATCATACCACCTGCCGCAAACAATTTCTTGCAATAGAAATCTTTTTTCTCTTAAAAACAGTTCATGAAGAACATTTTTTCCTTAGAAACAAAGGAATTTCAACAACATTTTTTAAAGCAATCGTTCATATGTATCAATTTCTTAGCAACAAAAGAAATTACACTATTTACATTATTCGGACTATTGTCCTCATCTTTGTTACCATATTTATCACAAGATTTGGGCCGTTTTACGCTCCGGCCCTCTTCAGGTGGTTGGAATGTCGAACCGAGTCCTTTATTTCGCTCGCTGAGGTAGACTGTTCTAGTTCTAATGGATGTCAGTTATCAGTTATCTCCTGTTAATTCCCCTCTACTTACTTACTTCCAAAAGTTCACAATTCAAAATGTTAAAGGTCAAAGGGGACAACAAACTCAGGCGAAGATGATTCTCTGGGTTCTTTAGACAAAATATTTATGTTTTTGGAACTTTCTCAGGTTTAGAAAAGACATTCGAATGAGATATACTTATGAATTTTGAAAAGATATTCGTATATTGGATAAAACTTATTTGTTTAGAAAAACATTTCTTCTTCTTCTTCTTCTTCTTCTTCTTCTTCTTCTAGCTTTCTCGCAGATCAAAAGATCATGTTCTTGGAAGGGGGAGTAATACTTTTCATCTTAACCTTTTAAAAAAACTCAAGAATCAATATCCAATCAAATGGTGCCCATTTGTAATTTAGATTAATCATCAAAGCCGAGTGTCATTTTATAATTCTTTCCCATAAACTGTTTAAACTACCTGGTTTCATTTTGGTGTTATCTTTTTTGTAATATATATTTATATTTATATATATATATATATATATATATATATATATATATATATATATATATATATGTATAAGCCGTCTGGCTTTATTTAGCCTTTTTTTTTTCAAAATCTTTACACATCACATCTTTATGCATATTTTTTATAAACCTCCTTAATTTATTTTGGCGCTTTCTTTTTCAAACAAACATTGTTACTAACATCATAATTCTCTTTATTGTTTTTTATTCAATCACTATTGTTTTATTAAAAAATAATTTTAATACTCATTTTTACGCAATTTCAACATTTTCTTAGTTTTTCTTGCAATTTTAATATCTTTTTATTAAAATATTTCCTATATTAATATGTTACACAATTCTAACGTTTTGATTAATTTTTCTCATGCAATTTTCATATTATCTTTTTTAATCAAAATCATTTTATAGCGCTCTATAGACGTATTGTTTCATTTCAGTGCCAACCTTTGGTTTTAAGGGTGGGATCGGTCATGTTCTTGCTTCACTTTCAGAGGCGGTGACCTAAGGGTTATCGCACGCTTCTATATCAGGCATCGAAAACCACCCTAAAGCATCGTTCGCTGTGCCAGAACATTTTCCACGGCATTCTCAGAATAATGGAAGAAATGATTTCCATTCCATAGCAAACGCGTCTAACAAATACAATAGCCATTCAAAGGTGGATGGTAGCTAGATAGAAGACTTGAAAATAAAGTGTTTAACGAATATCAGGATTGAGGCTTGCCTATTGAAATATTTCTGAAGGGATTAAAATAAAAACGTTATTAGAATTTTAAAGATAATTGAAACACTTTTTAAACAACGTTTTAAGCCAATCTTTTCTTTTTGGAAACTGGGCGAAATGTTTTGGCGATGTTTTAAAGGTACTTCAACATAGAATTACAACTACTTTCGTCCAGCACGGTTTAGAATTAATACTACTTCCATACAATACAACTTAGAATATAAACGCAATAAAACATATTAACAACGAACCCCTTGAAAATGGGTAATGAATTGACCGAAAGCGTTTGGGACAATAATCACTACGGACATTTTCTACAATCTCTTAGCTTTAGAAATTTTTCCCGATTACCTGCGAGTTTGTGCTTGGGAGTGAGAGTGGAATGAACAAACCCGAAGCTCGAAATAACTGTTCAGCAGCTTTTATTTCTGGTTGAAAGAGAGAGTGCAAAATAGTAGTATTTTGCGGAAAAAGTGGGCTTTCCCAGTTAACAAA